TTCTCTCATATTGCAACAAGTTACACTTCAACCATCATAGTATCCTCTCCCATGACATCTTACCTCATCGATATCTTAAAATTAAATCCTCATCTTCAACCATGAGAACCATTTCAGTGAATACGATACCATGCTTGTAATGGTATATGAGGGCACATTTTACAAGAAAACAAACAAATTTTAAAGATCGTTAACATTATTCAACCTTGATTTAGTCATCATTCTAATGATAAATATAGTTAAAATATGGTTTTAACATGACAACTAGCTTGTCAAATGATGTCTAGCAGTCAAGAGTTTGGGGTTTATAGCACAAAATTGATTCTCAATCCTAACAAACAAATCAAACACTGCTCCTAACCTTTGAGGATGATGAGTAGAGAGGCTCGTTTCCATGAAATTTGCCACATTGAAGACGCACACTTTACAATCACTATAAATGAAGAAGGTGATGAGAAGATGAAGGGTTGAGAGGCTCTTACCAAGGAAGGAGTAATAAAATTTGAGAGAATATCTTGAGATTTTTTTAAGTTTTTCTACTTTTCAGGGGTGATATTGAATAATTTTGAGAATAAAAAAACTGAATTTTATTGCAATCGAATTCCACTTTATTCGGACTTTATTAATTTTATAAATATTTTATTATATTGCATAAAATTATCTAAGATTATGTTGTGTTGAAAAGGAATAATTATTTGATACAATTAGATTAAAATAATATTTAAAATATTATAAAAATTTTCATTGTTTGGTGAAAACAACAGTATAATTAATTAATTAATTTATATTATAGAAAATATATAATTTATATTTTGGCTCTAAAAAGACTATTTCATGACTTCTATATGAATACCTTTTTGGCTTATAATTATTATATGAACTATCTATTAATATTAGTATAAAATTAATATAACGCTTTTTTTTTTCTCTACTATTTGCCGTACTCTCTTCATTCTAGAAGGAATAATATTGTTTCAATAGCTTCTCTTGCAAAAGTTTTTTATAAAGCATAAAATATTTGCCTAAATTAACAAAATATTTTGTTAATATTTTCAAAATATTTATATAAAAATGTTTTTCATATATTTTTTGTGCTGACAATTTTCAAAACTATTATTATCTTTAAATTAATTTTATTATTGTATTTTTATTAAATATTTTTAATTCATGCATTTTTTGCAAATAGCTCTAGATAATAATGAAAATTTTGACTTTATATGCCTCATATAATATATGGAAGGTCTCTGCTTTTTATTTATTTGAAGAAATATGTCTAAAGTTACTTTCAAGTGAAATTACCCTTATGATGGAAAATTATTATTTGCGGTCTTCGGACGCATCCAGAGGTCAATCTGGACGCACCACATCATCAAATACACAGTACATTGAATTACGTGGCTCATACGGATTAGACTATGGACTCATCCAGACTTTGAACATAATAATCTCAACTTATGATGGCAATATAAATTATGTCCTTAGTGATATTATGAATGCTAGAAAAAAATAGCTATTGAATTATGTGTTTCTAAACAACATCATTGTCTTCCAATCAACTTCTTTCTTTCACATTGGGTTCATCCTCTATGCTTCACTATGAGCAATTTCAAATGAATAAATATGGGTGTTTATATATGTGAGACCTCGTTCCCTTACTGTTCCTCTCTGACTTGGATTTTCCTCCAAGGATCGGCCGGGACGATATTGAAATCGTCCAGGACGATCTGTACTGTTCAAAATACCGTCCTGAAAATAGTTCTGGGAACCGTCCAGGCCGATGATTTTGGTCTGATCGTCCCAAGACGATCTGGCGATCGGCCGGGCCGATCAGCTATATGATTTAAGCAAATCAGCTCGTTTTGAGGAGAGAGAAAATCATTTTAAAAACAAAATATCTGATTTGAGGAGAGAGAAAGAGAAAGGGAAAAGAGGAAAAGCTTGGTTTTGGAGGCCGCGGAGCGCTTTTCGTCCGACGCTGCTGTTGGGAAAAGTGTAGATCTCGTGGTAAGGACTCCGAATCCTATTTCTGTTTTCAGAGATATTGAGTTTTGACCGAGTTGTGCATTGTTTTGTGTTTTCGTAGTCGAATTTTGGACA